CTGCTTCCTGCGCCCCACGCACCACCCCATAAGTCACACTCGCTTCGCTCGTGCGAATTTATAATTGTATAACACAGTAAAATATTATGAGTAACGGGCGCGAATAACGCACTCGCTTCGCTCGTGCTTTCGCGCCCTTCGCGCCATAACACTAGTCCCCACGCGTTACACAATGTACTATTGTGCAACGTTTTATCCCAAAAGAGCCACACTATTTCGAGATATCGAAAATGTGATTTTTCATTAGTATTTTTTTTCTCCGTTAAATCTAAACGGATCTTTACAAAAAGAATTATGAGTATTAAGAATATCAAAAAGATTAGAGTAACAATTTTTTTGTCATTCTTGGCTTAAAATACTGTTTTTAAAAAATTCAAGAAATTTAAAAATTGCATTTTTTATATGATCTGAATGTTTTACTACTTTTAAAATATTAGGTCAATCGGAAAGTTCCATACGTTCTTTGCAAAAAGTATTATTTTATTTAGGAAAAAAAAATGAAAAAGTACATCAATCAAAATATTGTCCATCATTTTTTTTAAGTTTATGGTCATAAAGCGTTTTACGTCCAGAAATGGACGTCCATTTTTAGTCCATAGACGTATGGACTTAAAATGAACCTTAAATGGACGTCCCAAGGACGTCCTGTGCTGTCTGGGTAGCGTGTATTCTATGTAGCACAGATTTCCGATTGATGTTTCTGTTACTAATATTATAAGGTATTATAAAGTAATATTATAATATATGAATAATAGAGTTATAAATATACTATTATGAATTATAGTACCTTATATATTATAGTAACAGAATACTTTTAAACATTATCTACTAAACATGTAACCTTCAGGCGACGTTATATTGGAGAAGAATATATCGTACTTAAAACGTTTCTTTATAAACGTTTATGAAATGTTGCATAAAAGTTTTGGTGAAACATATTTACTTCTAACATCTATAGAACATCGCAAAAACATTACATTTTGGTAATTAAAACTGATATTTGGAACGTTTCAAATGAAACGTTGCACGACATTCGAGCAACATCCAGTTTGTAACGTTATATATTAAACGTTTTGCAATGTTTACCGAACATTTCATTTATAACGTGTCATTAGTAACATTTTAAAATATTAGTATAACGTTATGTATGAGACGTTTATATAATATTTATAACATAACGTGACATAAACTTTTCATGTAAAACGTTTATTTTAAGACATTAAGAAACGTATCAATAACATTGAATATCTGATATTACTGAAACCTTCATTGCACAACGTCGTATAAATGTTGCAAATGTATAATATGCTGAACAGAACATGCGCATGCGCAAAGCGTGGCGTGACTATAATGGCAGCACCAGCAATGTGAAGGGATAAATTGTATTCCATTGTACTCGAGCACCACACGTTTGTCGGGGCGGTTTTTGACCTAGCAGTCTAAAGTTGAACGCAATCCCTCCACGTGTCCTTAATAATTACTTCTACACATCTATACAGATGAAGTGTTAGAAAAAAATATGGATTCAAATGGAAATAATAATGTGAGTGACCTGCACTGTTCGAGTTCCGACGAACCATTCGACCGTTACGGACGCGTTTCGGTTCGGGTGCTTTCCATAGTATATTTTTGAAAGTGTTGCCGACTTCGACTGAGCAATTGAATCCCAAGGATGGGTGTCCGCGGATGGGCTCGTCTCGATTGTTCGGCGTTTCGTCGACTAGGACTCCGGACGCGCGTTGTTGCGGTGTGACGACGCCGTAGACGCAGGCGTCCGGTGACCGTTCGAGCAACGCCATTTTCGCGGGCATTGCATCACTCGCTATTGTCATTCATAAGACGAAAAGACAATTAGACGTGATCTGGTCGTATTGCCTCCGCTCACTCAATGGAGGCAGGAGCCATTCATTAATAAGAAGAAGAAAGACCTGCACTGTTCAGTGAATGTAAGTATCAATTAATTTATGTTTTTTAAGGTTCTATGTCAATCCGACAAGTGGAACTAAATTTGTCTCTACGTAATGTTAGCACTGGACGAGTTTTAATATAAACAATATATGTATACGAACATATAACTAATTATCCATAACCTTATTAATAGAATAAATAGGTAAAAAGCTAATATAAAGTAATAAAATATTCAACATAAAATGATATGTGTAACGTCAAAAGTATAAAGATAAAGCCAAATCTAACTGTCACGCAGAAAGTACATATAATAAGAAAGATCATGATAATGCAAAGTCAATAACCTTGCCCAGATAGCCAAACCCACCAAAAGCATGCATTGCAAATTTATGCTACATATAATGGCAAAAATCGAGCAGCAGTCGAACACGGTTTACCGTTTCAGTATAGCCATAACAGAAATACAGCAAAAATAGAGCAGACCTGCGTCATAATACACTAGCAAAAATTCTGTAAAAATTCATCAAACTTTGCCGAAATAAAGCAAGCAGAAATCGAGCAATACATGCTGACAAAATAAATTAACAAAAAATAGATCAAAACTTGATATAAAACATGACTACATGTTAAATCAGTAAAATGTTGTTAAAAATCTGGCACACCTATTGTCATATTATGACAGCAAAAACGCAGCAAAAATCGAGCTCAGCCTGCCGTCACGTCGTGATTACAAAAACCCGTCAGATATAGAACGTGATCTG